GTTATTGACTAACATATTGGTATTGTTGGATATGTAAATTAATAAAGAATTGTATGCTTAAATAATATACAGGGTGTGGCATTTGAAAAAAATTAAATAAATTTAACTTAGTATTAGCCATATTTAAGACTTGTTTTTCAAAACACTCGTATAAAATAATCCAGTTATATCACCACTATTCGTTAGCTTAGTATTTTATTGCTGCATTTAAAAAAAAATTGAATTCATTGTTAACCTACCTAAATTACGATAATTTAATTTGGGGTCTGCATCATTCTCTAATTTCATAAAAAAATGAATTTATTGGCAACCCTGCAATATTTATTAATAAAGTTCTAGGGTTAAATACAGTATTACCAAATAATTCTAAAACTGGAGTAAAATACGGGGTTTTTTGTTTAAATAATATACCTTTTTATTTATCAGACAAAAATGCAAAACACTGTATGTCTAAAAATATCTTTAAAATATCTATTTTAAAAATTCATATAACTTTTATTTAGAAATTGTTTACGTGTCTATAACACAAATTGAAATATTGAACAATTACGCAATATTGGGACAATCTGAATATATTATTCACAATATATGCACGCAGCATATTTTTGTAATAATTTAATCGCGCGCCGCGTTTATATATTTTATTCACGCTTTTATTAGATATTGTAGAAAAATGACATTGTTAATGTAAAAATGTCATTATAAACTTCGTTTAACACAATGGTGGAATCGGTCCTTAAGTATTTACTTAAACTACTTTACTCATAAAACGTAAAAACAGACTTAAATTTTTAAAAAACTACTTCGGCTCAGCAGACGCGACCACAACATTTGCTTTAGCAGTCAACGTGTTTTAAATGGTTTTTTATTCATTTGTTGTTTAATTTGTATTTAGTTATTAATATTTCAAAAATGCTTATTTTTCTTATTGATTAATCTAAAATACACACGTAATTTTTATAAATAATTGAAAATAGTACTGTAATTCTGAATTGATAAAAAAGTGAAAATATGAAAACATAAATTACGACTCTACAAATGAAGTAAAATTTTATGATTAATTTCTTTTTTCTTACAAAAACAATATCTCAGCAATATGTCATAAGTTGCATTCAACAGTATGTCTATGTAAGTTGACAGCATATAGAAAACTCTTTTAATATTCATTTTACGAAAAAAAGTTATTCTTCATAAAATTTATGCATGGTCTAACAGAAAATGCAACCATCCGATATCAAATTTATTTAGGTACCTGCTACATCGAAAATATTTGTCAAGGTCAAGAACTCGTTTACTTATCATCGCGTAGTGGCTAGGGATGATTAATTTGTTATTTTATAACAGTTACCGGTTACCGTTTAGAATTAATAAAATTATTACGCCATCTGTTGAACAAAAGAACTATTAAATATGAAATATTGCTCCATCTATTGAACAAAAGGATTCTTAATGTATGACACATAAATGACATCTATCACAATTAGTTCATGTTACGAATATTGGGCATGATACTGTGGCCTAAACCTTGTACTTCAAAACGCCTAGTCAGCAAAAAGAAATAAGTATATTTTTTGCCAACTTACATGCATTTTCATCTTTTTTTTTTGGAAAATCTCCTAAAAAGAACTTTAGTGTTGGATCGAGTAGTCAATAAAATATTACCAAAATCTGCTCCCACCAGATGGTATTTTAATAGCAGACGTATTGAAACTGTCTACATATACAAGAATGATTTAGCATATTGTTCGTAGGAAATAATGGATACTGAATTTGAAACAACTACAATTACTCAAGCAGGAGGTTTAAAGTCATATTTAGAAAATGAAATTTTTTTATATTGGTTGAAATTTTTTTACTCTATTATGCAAACATCAAATATTGATGCTATTTTAATTGAAAAATTTATAAAACATTTTAATTCTATAACACAAAAAATTCGAGACAGTGTTGTCTCTATAGAGCAAAATGATAATTTTGGAGTGAGTAGCTCTAAAAAAAAACATCCAGAAGACTCCAAAAGAAGATTTTTTTAGAAATATGTGACATAATTTTGTCAGAAATCCGCTGTCGTTTTACTTATACAGAACATTTATTAGTTTCACGTTTGTTTGATACAAATAATTATGCTCATTAAAAAAATGAGTTATTTTAAAATCTGTTAAAATTAATTATGAGATGATAAATGTTTCTAAGCTCAAATCTGAATTGGAAGTTTTATATATATAGTCGTAAAGATTTTTATAACAGTGCGGGTGCTGTTGCCATTTTACAACTGTTGTTGGAAATGAACCTAGGTGAAAGGTTTTCGAAAAGTGTAATTTTATTGGAGATTTTATATACTATTCCAGTGACTACGGTAGAAAGTGAACGGTGCTTCTCAACCCTAAATAGAATTAAGACTTTTCTAAGAAACACTATTGAAGAGCCAAGATTGGGAGTTTAGCAATGTTAAATATTAAAAAACTTTTTGTTAGAAGTATTTTTAATTTTAATAAACTGATCATTGAACATTTATCCAACCAAAAGAACAGAAGGATCGATTTAATTTATAAACAATGAACACAAACTATACAAACGAGAAATACGAGTGTTGTGCGCAGTGAAACGAGTGCAGTAAAGTTATAGTAGATCATCTGAGCGAAGCGTGTGCAGCGTAACGAGCACAGCGTAACGGAACGATAAAAACAAGCAAACCATTAGTGATTTCTCGTAACTACATAGAAGGAAAGTGATTTATCCTGAGAATTTTCTCAATAATAGATAATATTTTAATAATTGGATATCTTAAGTGATGTGGCTTTTATTTGTTCCATTTAATAGTGAAAAACATAAAAAATTAATAAAAATTAGTTTGTGTGTAACGCACCAAAAAAAAAAAAATCTAGTTTGGACCAGTGCGGTTTTGCCATCCACCACAATTTGACCCACCTCTACAATAACTCACGAGCCGCACCTGGACCGTACTCAAAAACTTAACACGAATAAAGGATATTAGAAATTTAATCTATTACAATTATTAGATTATCATCCTATCTACACGATGTCACAAGCGTGACTTTAAAAAAAGTTAAAGGAATGGGATGAGAATTTGAGTAAATCAGATTGACTTTAAATCTATGAATTCAAATACAAAAATTTATGTGCCTGGGTAGCTCAGTTTATAAGAGTATGGACGGCTTGAGTCCGAGAATACCTGACCGATGCATTTATTTTATACCGGGTGTTCAAATTAAAGTGTTACAGCTAAATATCGCCTTTTATAAAAAAAAACGTTTCAGACGAAAGTTTTATAGTTTTGTGGGGAAAATTGTTTGGCTAAAATCGTTTTTTATAGCTAACCATAATATGGCCAACCTTTTTTTAGTCCAGCAAAATTTTCAAGTAGCTGTTGCTCAAAAACAAAAAGTCCAAAAAAAAAAAAAAATATGTTCATCAAAAGTGTCTTATTGTTTTATGTACTTTAAGAATATGTAAAAAAATGGGCTTCCCATTTAAAAAAACAAAGTCTACGTCGATATGGCCATATTATAGTCAGCTATAAAAAAATTATATTAGCCAAAATGTTTCTCCCAAAAACTATAAAACTTCTGTCTGAATCTTTTTTTTTCTAAAATGCATATTTTCGGCGATATTTAACTGTAACACTTTAATTTGAACACCCGGTATTTCTTAAATTGTTGGCTTTCTTAATTTTGTTTTAACTTGTAACGGTTGAAACCGTTTTCGTTATTAAGACCCAAACATTGTAACGGTCGGAACCGTTTTCGTTATTTGACACCAACATCTCTACATAAATGTAATTTGTTTATGCCGTTTATGTCGTTTATGTCGTTTATGCCTTTTGTTTAAAGTTGGTAATTCATTTCGATTTTGTATCTGTCAACGAATAGGTTGATTTGAAAATTATCTTTTATCTTGGACATCCGATGTACTAATTGTTTTTAATATTTTTAATGACCGTCTAATTTTAAAAAGGTAAGTTTCCTACCGATATTTTGTTGAAAATATATATTTTGTACAAGAAATTCTAATTAAAATGTCAAATCTGAAATATAACCTCAAAATTGAATAGCACATGATAATCCATTTTATATAATATTATATATTATTTTGTTAGGAAAGAGATAATATGCTTTACTTTATTTAAATATGTTAAATAAGATTTTTCCTTTTCATATTAATTTTGGTCTCGGTGAAGCTATTCACTTAGTAGTATTAAATTGTGCATTTGATAGTAAAAAGCATTCTATCTGTTTCCTATGTAAACTTCCTAGATCCTTTCTTGATATTTTTACCTTTTTCCTTGTAGCCTGGCTGTATCTAGATGGTTCTGTAGAAGTTATATCTAAAGAGATTGTTTAGAAGTTTGGAAGAACGTTCAAGCTGCATGTTTAGAAGTATATAAACTTAGAAGTTTAGTTCCAGCTACAGAAGTTTATTTTAAGTACATCAAGATGTTTACGAGCCATCTAAAGAAGTTTATGAGATTTAATTTTACCTATGAAGATTTATACTTAACAGTTGGTGATATCCGAAGTATACCATACAAATCCCCTTAAAGAAGGCCTCTACAATCACTCCTTAAATATTACCTCTGATTCAACAGATAAGTCTTTAATAAATCATTTAAATTTAAATAAGTAAGTCTCTGTGAATTAAAATTTGTCGCTACCTTATCTGAAACCTTATTTAATTATAATATCTTATTGGTTAGTGATTTTCTATATTTTTATCATTAATCGACAGTCAAGTTTAGTAAGTTTTAAATATAGTGGCACTCAACATTCTTTTTCAAAGTAATACGAGTTGTTTAATAACCTGACCCACTCCCCAAAATCATAAGAGCTTAAAACACTATAAAAATAGATAAAATAACAAGATCACGTTTCAAACTTTGGAGATTAGAGGGTGTTCGTTAGGGAATTTGGAAATATTGATTTTTATATTTCCAAAATGTCATTAAATTTTTTCTATAACAATAAATAAATTTGAAAAACTACCTGCGCTACCATTTCTTCATTCGTTATTTCAATTCCAGACTTTCTCATTTCAATCAATAATTCCAGAAAATCCGCTCTGTGTATATTGTTCTTGATTCTGTGCTCCACAGTTTTCGGTACAAAATTTTTAAAGAATTTTTCAATATCCGGTTGGAAGCTACCTATATTAATAAGATGGGCTAATTTTGGGTAACAGATGGTTAGGAATAATCCTAGTTGGAATGGTAGCGTAAAGGTATCAAACAGTTCTCGTCCTAATTTCCTAAAAATGGCGTCGGGAGATTTGAAACTGTTAGCGTCGACTCCATAAATTACCGATCCTAAAAATAAGCAATAATTTAACGTTTACTAAATATCAGGAGCCTGTGTTAAGGTATACATACCTATAACATCGGTAAAGTAACAAGCCATAACTTCGTAAATATCAACATCTACATTACCATCTTCTGCTATGACTTCCAAATTGGTTTTTAATTCATCACTGCATTTTTTTATGGTGTTAAAGTAGTACTTCATTTTAGATGATGTAAATATGCTTGTAAATTTGGCCTAGAAAAAATAATCAAGAAAAATATAAGATTTCTTAATCATATGTATTATAAAATTGGTGAATATCATATTTTTTTTTTTTTAAATTCGCTATACATCACTTTAATATTTTAGTACGTATTTTACCACTAATTACAGAACATTTTAGCGATTTTAGTTACAACTTGTGGGAGAGGTAATATACATTACTTCAAAGATAATTTACCACTTTTAAGAGAGAGCGAAAAATAGAGCATATTTTTGAGTTATATTTTACCTACTGTTTTTATCTGCGTTTATTAACAAACATTTTTATTTATGTTAGTAGTATTACCTTTAATTACTAAAATAAATATTCTACATGATTCGAATTCCAGTTCTTCTAATATAAATTGAAAAATAAAATTTACTAAATTAATTAAAGCCTGTATTTTCTATTTAGTTTACAGTAGAACTAACGGCTCCATTTCCATCGCTTCGAAGCAAGTCAGTAATTTGCCCAACCCTTGAATATTTTTTTTGCTTTTCAGAACAATTTGTCGCAAAAATCAGTGGCGTAAGTGGTTGAGATATTGTTAGCAATTTTACTTATACTCTATTCAACTTAAACGCAAGTAACGCTAAACACAATTAGCCCCATAACCACAGAACATTTTGCTAGAGCTAAGGGAAACATTTAAAACGAAATCACTGGACTGGCCAATAACAGTCGGGCTTTTGCGTATCATGCTGTGGTCATGGGACTAGTTGTGTTTAGCGTTACTTGCGTTTAAGTTGAATAGAGTATACAGTCGCCTCTGGTCAGGGAGATAAGCACGTATTGATGACAATGCGTGAATACCCCGGCTGTTCGTCGGTACCATGTTGGTGTTTTACAGGATAATTTTGAAAAGTTCAATCAACGTGGTCGATCTCTCTGCGCAGAATTACTGGCCACTCGCTACGTCATTACTTGTGTTTTTGTATTCAATATTCATACGATTATAGTGATGTTTACTTATATTTGAATTTTTAATTGTAATTAATATTTATACCCTCTTCATTTCAAACATCAGAAGTGGGATAGGACTCACGACTGACGCTGTTGTTGATGCATTGTTATAAATTAATTGTCGTTATTGGCTTTTTGGTGAACAGTTATTTAAAATAATTATTGTGCTATTTCTTAAGTGTAGAACAATAGAAAAAGCAAAAATGGATTTTAAAAATAGTGAAAGTGGTATTCAGATATTGTTATCAGAGTTAGTTATTGCGTTACAGGCATCAACTGGGCAGGTAAATTTGTCATATTTTCTGACTTGAGTTAAGTGAATCCAACAAATGGGTGAGTGATATTGAAATTATTAAGTATAAGTTGATATGACGTGAAAATAAATAAATCTAAATAGGTATTAGAAATTAATTACTTTTAAGATGGAGTTTACTGAACAATTTCCACCGAAACCTAATGTTAACCGTTTACTTGACAAGGCCGCCAAATTCAACAGCTTTTACACAAATACGTTCATGAAAAATCTGTGATGATAAAAAGTTTACGAGCTAATTGGAATGAAAGTGACGTAGTATAATTAATTACTCTAAATTAAATAATAATGGCAATGAAATTGTGGGACAATTAAAGAATTTTTAGTATTTTTGTCGCCCTTTGCTAAATAGAATTCAAAAAGCAGATGTTAAGGTAACTAATATGAGAAAACACTTCTATGTTGATAAATATTCTACCAGTAATAAAAGAAATGTTATCATTGTGGCAAATTTGGACATCTCAAAGTAAATTGCGTCAAGTGTCCAAGACCCGACGATGATGCTCCATACAGTAAACAAAATCTGAAAACGAGAATGATGACGGTTGCTCTATTTGCGCTAAACGTGGACATACAATTTTAAATTGTTTTACAAAAGCTGCTATAGACAAACGCCGTAACATGAATTTTTGCCCAGCTGAGAAACTTGCAAATACAACAAAAATTTGAAATTAAGGGCATCTATTTTAGGCTCTTGTAGAGATATTTATCGTTAATGTTAAAAAAATGATTGGATTGATTTAAAAATGAAGCTGTTATTAGTAAAATTCTGCTCAATATGATTACAAATGTCATGATAAGTAGAAAAATAAATGTACAGTGTGTACAAAAATTTCTGACGTTGATATTTTTGTCATTAAATATTTGTTTCTGAGAGTATTCTTGATTATGATGTAATTATTGTTCTAATTTTTGTTTCGAATATCAAGCTCTAATGATAATAACAGATCTTTAAAGTTCTTGTGTTGAGCGACGTTAATTACATAAAATTAAGTGAATTTTTAAAAGTTTTCACATATAATTAGGTAAAGATAGCATACTACGAGGCATTGGAGAAAGCTTTTCAAGATTTCGAAAGCATATAACATGTGGTAATTATATAGGAGCGGTTAATAATCTTAGTTAAAGAAAATAAAACTGGAAAAAGACATTGTTGTGAATCGTGCTCCATACCAAGTTACTCCAATTGAAAAAGAAGCTGTAGTAGGAGAGATATTATAGAAAATTTGGTGGCTAACCGGACTATGCGTCTAAGTAGCCCTGTGGTTTTCGTAAAAAAAAGTTGTGCATACTTGTTCTGTGTTCATTTTAGAAACTGTTAGGAATGGAAAAGTAAATAAAATCAGAATAACCGAACGGTCTATGGAAGATTCAACTTGTTTTAAACAGCACCATTCAAAAATAAACAAACGTTACAGTTACTTTTGGGAATTCAAAGTTCATATCCCTGATATGTTTTAATGTTTATAATAATAATGTATCGATCTCAGTCCCTTAAGTGGTTGAGCCGGATGTGGTGACTGCGGTCACACATATTTTTTTATTATGATTGCTTATATTTATCGGTCTTAGTCCCGTCAGTGGTTGAGCCGGATGTGGTGACTGCGGTCTTACATGTTTTTTATTATGATTGCTTATATTTATCGGTCTTAGTCCCGTTAGTGGTTGAGCCGGATGTGGTGACTGCGGTCTCACAAGTTTTTTTTAATGCCTATATTTATCGGTCTCAGTCCCGTCAGTGGTTGAGCAGGATGTGGTGATTGCGATCTAACATATTTTTTTTTAGTGCTAATAATTATCGGTCTCAGTCCCGTCAGTGGTTTTAGCCGGGTGGTGGCTGTGGTCTCCACATATAAATTTATTTTTCAGATGAAGACCAATTGACATAGTAGTGCCGAGAACGTCAATAGCGTCAGAATTGGCCGTATTAGCAATTTTACCTAGAATCGCCTCTGGTCAGGGAGATAAGCACGTATTGATGACGATGCGTGAATACCTTGGCTGTTCGTCGGCATCATGTTGGTCTTTCACAGGATAATTCTGTAAAGTACAATCAGCGCAGAATTACTGTTCACTCTCTACGTCATTACTTGTGTTTTTCTATTCAATATTCATACGATTATAGTGGTGTTTACTTATACTTGAATTTTTAATTATAATTAATATTTATACCCCCTTCATTTTTATATATATCATGTATATTGTAATGATATGTATGTATAATTTAATTATTTTTAAGAAAATATTTTTTTAATATAAATTTGTTTTCTTAGTGTAGAAAATAATACCTTTCAGCTAGCTCATAAAATAAATTTATATTAGACGCCAATGACAATATTATTAATGTTATATAATAAGCACTTCAGAAACTTACCTATATAGGCCTATAACATTCCTTTTTTATTAAATTTGCACGAGACTCAGTTATTTGTTTAATATGTTATTACCTTTCATAAAATATTTATAGTTCTCAGGGATTTATAGTGGTTTCAAGAAGCAAATAAGAGATTGTCCCAATCTCCCCTATCAAATTTTGCGAAACGGCAATGATCTTCAAAATTAATCAATCAGTTATGTAACCAACAATACACATTTATTTGAAAAGAAAAACCAAAGACAATACAGTTAAATAGACAATTAGGTTAGTCAAATATCAACTCATTCATTCGTTCTATCATACTTGATTAACGTAAGAACTTAAATTTAAATTATTACACAAAACCAGTTCATTCTCTACACAATTTGTAGTTCAAATAGCCCGTAGTTATATGAGACCTGAATTGGTAACAATGTCCTTGAATATTTCTATTCGTGTTTAAGAAATATAACCTCAAACTACAATGATTGGTATATTGAATGAAGTTGTCTTGTATTAAAACTTTATATGTTTAAAAGGTAAGAAATATCAATTTAAATATAATTATACAGTCAATACCTTTAAGCATAATCACTGAGATTGTCCTTCTTGTCCTTTTTTCTTTGCAGGTCAATCACTAGCAGTAGGAATGCTGTATTCCCAGCCATGGTAAAGTTCTTCTCCAATAAAAACAAAGTCAATTTACCATCATCTGCTAAGATGCGGGATCTTTTATATGTGTTAAATAAAAAACTGTCCTGTGACGCACTAAGCCGGCACAACGCACTTTTGAGGTGAGTAAATAAATACCTTGCTCTGACTATTTGTCAATTACAAATAAAATTTACAACTAGATTTCTTTAATTTCTTGATAACTGATCGATTGATTCTTTTCTTTTATCATTTTACGGGATTCAAAAATTTTTCATACATTTCATCTTTTATCAATTTTCTACCACCAATTTTTTTTTAATCAACAACCCCTTAGTTACCAATTTTCATCAAGTAATAACTTTTTAAATTTAACCAATCAAAACGATTTGCTTCTAGTGATCTATTATTTATTTGATTTACTATTTTAACTAAAAGACTTTATTTAAAATATCACTGTCCGATTATTTTTGTGAAATTATTTCATACTATTGTTATTATAATTTCTTTATTCTGGTTGTCAATTTTTATTAATTTAGACAAATCTTCTCATATAAAATCATGTTGGCAACAATTTTACCAATTTTTTGAAAATTGTCAAGTTTGTCAAACTTTCTTGATAAACTTGCTGTACAGGGTGATAATATAATTATTCGAGAAAATTTTTTTTTTTTTTATTTTGATTAAAATTTATTTTATTTTATTTTTAA